CGCAGGCCATCGCCATCATCTTGTTGCAACACTGCACCAATCCCAAACTGGCTTGCGTCCGTAGTGACTACGAACGTGAGGTTGGGATTCGCAATGCGGAGCATAGGATGACTTACCAAAGCCTCTTTCAAGGCTTGGAACGCAGTCTCACACTTTTCACACCACGCATAGGCGACATTCTTACTAGTCAGGCGTGAGAGTGGGTGAGCAATGACAAAGAACTTAGGCACAAACTTCCGGTAGCAAAAAGTCAAACCAAGAAAAGAACACAGCTCGCGTACATTCGTCGGTTGAGGCCAGTTGCGGATGACCTCAACCTTGGTTGCCTCCGGCTCAAGACCGCTTGCAGACAACCAGTGTCCAAGGTAGATGACGCTGTCCCTGCCAAACTCAGATTTCTCCAAGTTGAGGTGCAGTTGAGCATCTTTGAGGACTTGCAAGACCTCGAGATGCTTGACGTGCTCCTCCATGGACTTGCTAAAAATCAGAATGTCATCAAGATACACAACCACAAACCTGTTAAGTTGGTGGCGGAGTACCTTGTCCATGAGGGACTGAAATGTGGCTGGTGCGTTCGTAAGGCCGAAGGCCATAACGATGAATTCGTACAGCCCGTCACGTGTCTTGAACGCAGTTTTGTGTTGGTCACTCGGATCAACTTCAATCTGGTGGTAGCCAGACTTGAGGTCGATCTTGGAGAAGAATTTGCATCCAAGAGGTTGTCACTTCTACTCATGCTGTCAAAGGTGTGCGCATCACCTTTGACAAAGATCGCACTGTCACACATGAGCTGAATTTCTATGTCCTGGACAAGTGTCTTTTCGACGCGGTCATTGGCTTGAGCTGGCTAAAGGCTCATTGCCTAAGGACCACGTGGGCAGACAACCAGTTCGTGGTACTTGATGCCAAGGGGAACGAGCGTACTGTCTTACTAGACGAGACACGCGAGTCCCCTGTGACTCTTCTCAGTGCTAACAAATTCTGCAGGTCACTGCGCAGGCGCAAGGAAGCTGAATTTGTACATGTAGCTCTTGTAAAGCCTTTCCACGTGCCTTCTTCTTTTGCTGCATTTTCTACCTCTGAAGGTAACTCTACCTCTACTACTACTGTTCCACCTACTTCTGCTGTAAATGATCAATCTAGTTCGGAACCAAATATGTCGAAACCGGTTGCGATTGCTGTAAATTCCCACCTGAGTCCGGCAAGGGTTCTGCAGTTCCACTTGCTTCATACCCAGGCCCGCCTTACGAATCCCGTTCGGAGAGAAGAAATTAGTGGTCGAACCACTGTCAATCAGCACACGGATGTATCGGCGTTTAATGAGTAGTTTAAAGAAAATCAGCTCCACGCTCCCTTGAACACGGCGTTGCTGCTTGAGCTGCAGCCAATGCTTCATGTGGGTGTGGAGGTCGACCTCTTTAGACTCCTCCCAAGGCTCAGTGTACAATACTTGGTCTGCGTCAGCCTTGGATTCAGCATTAGTTGGGACTTCAAGAGAACGCTGCTGATCAGATCCAGGCTCCTCGGAAGGGCCTGCAAGTGACTGCCCAACTTCCCTTGCTGTAGAGAGTGCTGACAACTCCTCTACGCCCCTTGCCTATTTCCCTGAAGACGATAGCAATTCTGCACAACATGCCCAGACTTTGAACAATGCAAGCATACGTGCAGTTTGGATCTTCTTTCCCATTCTTTTTGGCTGATGCGGAGGGCTTCCCAAGGTTTGGTGGAAGCGTCCTCCGGTTTCTCAGGGATCTTAGCATTCTTGGGAAGGTGTATAACTGTTCCCTTACCCGAACCACGGTTAGGCCCCTTATTCGAAGCAGTCTTTCTGAATGCATTAAGTTTTTCGTCATCATTTCGGTCACACTCAATGGCTGATGTGGAATAGCTCGTATCGGAGTCCGGATCTAGATCGTCATCTAGAGACAGATCATCCGCATAGGACTGATCGTCAGCCTCCCGATGATCATGCAGTGCAAGCTGGTTGCTGCTTCCAAACCGCTTGCGTTGGGGTTTCCCACCTGCAGCGGGTGCCTTCTTGCGCCTGGCGAGGTCCTTGGCCTCTAGGTCGACTAGGTCCTTCATGAGCTCCCGCCAGGTAGCATGGTCTTTGAGTGCTAGCAGGGAGAGGTATTCTTTTGGGGCCACTCCCATGACTACATCCATGCAAGACACGTCAGTCATTCCTAGATCCGGAGTGGTGAATAGACCAGTCAAGTGTTGTTCCAAAGCCTGCATTGATGACCTCCATGTTTGGCCCTTGAGGGCCTCAAGCTTCAGTCTAGCCTTGAGCACAGCATGTTTATCCTGATACCGGTCAAGGAGAAGATCATCAAGGGTGCGAACAGGGGTGACCTTCAGCCAATCAGTCAGGTCTATGCGTGCATAGCCTGCAGCAACAGCTTGGAGCTCAATGTGGTTTCGTACGGCAGGCTCGGTATTAGTTCCCATGATCATACTTCGGTCCTCTTGCGGTGTCCGCATGACCTCGAAGTACAACCGCATGGAACTAATCCAAGAGGTGATGTCAGCCTTCCCGTCGTACTTGGATGGCAGCGTGGCCGCCCGCTTGTCCACCATGGGACCGCTGTACTTAACGCCAGTAAGGACTATGGCGTTTTGGGTTGAAGTCCCTGCATTTGGGACTGCGATCAATGCAGAACTACCGGTGCTGCCGCTTGAGGAGCTTGCTCCGGTTCCTGCACTTGCCACAGTTCCGTTGGCCCTTGGAACGAGGGCTGTGCTGGGCTGAGAGACTGGGATTACAGCAGATCGAGGGTTAGGAGGGCGGGGGGCAGATAGTTGGGACTGTTCAAGGCTAATTACCTTAGTCTGCAGCTCTTGGTTCCGCTGCTCAAGTGCTGTCACACGGGACTCGAGATCTTCCAATTTCCGCAGTCGGACCAAGGCTGCGACGGCAGCAGCTAGCATCTCCTTGAACCGGTCAGCATTGGCTTCCGGGACCTGTAGGAGGGCCTCCTGCGCAGCTATGCTCGTAGCTCTAGCTGCTGCCTCCACCTCCCTTTCCCTCTGTACGGCATCATCATACAATTTTTGAAAGAACGGTTTCTGACTCTCGTCTGCTGCGTCCAGCATGGCCTGCCATTGGTCAGACGTGATGACCGCTGGAGGAAGGAATGTCAGTAGTGCTCTCAAGAGGGGTCCGCTCTCTCCCTACGTTTGGACGAACACTCCTCTTGCCCCTCCTCACACTCTCAAACAGCACACCTTCTCTCTCCCTTTCCTCTCTTTTCGCTGTCTGCGCACGCGTCTCAATACTGGACATAGATAGTTCAGATAAATGAAACAAACAGAAAACCACTCAGAGAAGAAGGTAGAACTCCTAGCTGGAGCGGCAAATCATTTGGACTGAGAACGTGGCACGCAGCAGAATAAATAAATAAAATTAAAAAAAAATAAAACAACAGAGAGGTCTGATTTATAGAACGGGCCCGATCAGATCAGTTGGAGATCCCCTCTTGTCTAACCTGACAGAGGACGTGTCATCACAATAAATCAGACGAAGAAGACTAACTGCAGCAATGGAGATTTCGAGGGGTGCAGATGGTCGCCGAGTCAGACGCGGGGCAGTATGTGATCACACGCGGTAAGACCAGTCAAGATCCCCTTGAAAGGAATGCCCTTGCTGTCCGTGTGTCCCCCAGATTCAGCACAGCAAAGTAATGCACCGACGGCAGCAGATCTGGGCCCGAAGGTCCTGTCCCGTTGGGCCTGGTCCCACTGGTCCCAAGTGGTCCCGAGTAGGCCGTGGACCAGGTCTAACGAGACAGGGGTACCAAGTCAGACCCAAACTGTCTCTACCGTACTGAAAAGGAAAAGACAACTTCCAGCAAGAACTTACCCCTACTACCGTTCAGAAGTGAAAAGACAATGCACTGTACAAAGATAAGTCATCTAGAACAAGATACATCATCCATTCATCCATCAGGTGAGAAAGCAATCCACATGCTCAACACACAACCAAGACTGCAGAGAAGGGGAAGAGAACCCGGCACACCCCCAACGGGTCATGCAGCACCAAGCAACCTCCCACGGGCTTACCCAGGTCACACGGTACTTACCTGTGAGGCCCGGCCTCCAAAGATGGATAACGAGTCACTCCCYTCTCAWATAAKTCCTCCTGACCCCTAGCTACCACWACACRAAGTGTCCTAGCATGACTAAGAGGGCCTTCCTACACCCCTGTTGCAAAGTCGGATCCCCCGTCGATGCCTGAAGACCAAAGTAGCAACTTGCAGCAATCCGATGCAGATATGGCAGCCTCCGACCAAGTCTCCCTCTTGAGGGGAAGCCGAAAAGTCACTCAATGTCTTCCTGAAGTCCAGATTCCAGGTGCGAGTACCTCTCACTCTCTACTCCCTCTCGCTTACTCCAAACAGCCTCCTTTGTGTCTCGCCACCCCACACATTCACTCAAGCAACCTGGTTGGGTCCAATGTCGACCCTACATGACCTAACCAGGTGGGGGCAGCATCCCCATACCTCGCTGCCCCACTTAACCCTAACTTCCCAACCCTAATCCGAGATTAGGTCAGCCTTAACCTAATTCGAAATTAGGGTTAGGGTGACTAACACCTCTCGCCAGCAAGTAAGTCCGCTCCGATACCAATTGTTACGATCCTGGTCATTTCCCAAGTGCAAATTCACAATGAAAGACAATG